TTGCATAATTTCGTGTTACATTGTATCATTCGGATAGTAGTATCAGGTCGACTTACTGCTTTCTGGACAAGCCTCCGTTGTTCGGATCTTTGCGGCCGACTCCCCAGAATATCTTGGTGGTGACGATTATGTCAGTACGACGCCAGCCAAGCTCCTTGATGACGCGCCCCCTGATGTCGATAGATGTATTCAGTGTAAGCTCGAGGTAGCAGAAGACTGTGAAATACATTTCTTCCTCTGATTTGCCATTGGCATAGGTTTCTGCAGTGTCAAACATGTTGATCCCGTTCTCGAATGCGGTTTGCATGATTTCCTGCATTGTCAATGCAATATGATCAGCGAGCGGCTTCGATAGTAGGATGGTAGACGAACCTTGACAGGATCGCCTTTGATAGAACCTCCAATAGTGAGCCCTATTATAGAGTGAGCTCAAGGTAAGATAACGTGTATCACTTGAAAGTTCGCTCGAGACGAATTGATTCAGCAATGGATGCACTTACATCCTCCTAAGGAAAATAAAGGAACTCTCAATCCACTAGGACCGAGTCTGCGAAATGGCATTCCCTTGGGATCGTATTCAACCTTGATATCTTGCTGGAGCTGGAACGGCATTGCTCAGTGTACGACAGCTGGATATACACGATTGGTAGATGATGGTGGTAAAATTATAAGATATCAGTGTAGAGATTCTGCGGTGCTCACTTGATAACAGCGACGGTACTTATACTAACGGTCCGCATTCACCTCGGTAGCTTATTCTACTTCAAAAGAACGTTTGCCACATGAATAGATCGAAGGAGACAGACAGGTTTAAAACGGAGGGAATAGAGGAAAGGCATCTTTACGACTCGCGAGTGGTATACGGTACAGACGATCTACGAGATCTCTTGATGATGGGGAGAAGCGTCGAAACGCCCAATAAGCGCTCGGGCTTCGGCCGGCCGAGCAGCTGATGTAATACTCATTTTCACAGATTTTTCCAATTGACAGCTCTTCACCAACGACCGTCAAGTCATTTTTTTTCTCTCTCTCTAGCTAACATTTCTTGACCACAACATGTGGAGACCAGCAACACGCCAGATAACAGGGACGAATGACGGTAAGCTCCAGTCATTTTCAGCCTTTTATTGTCATTCTGACCTTAAATTTCACAGTGCCTTTAGGAAACCGTCGTCGATTCGGTCCCGCACCCACTGAAGAAGCAGCACCTCCTCAACTTGCTCAACCGTCTCCTTCTGCCTATCCAAAACCTCAGGATCATGAAAGCCTAGGAAAGCGAGGCAGAGAAGAATCGCCTCAGAATGGAGATCCGAAAGGTAAGCACAGAGTGTTTGACGCTAACCAAACGGTTGTCACTTTTTCGTCCCGAGACCATGGCACATATCAGGCGCTCTTGATTCAAACTCTCATCCCACTGACCTTATGTATATAACCTAACCTTTTACTTGTCTGTTACACTCCGTTCAGTCGATCCCAATGCTCCTCGTAAACGACGAAGTCGTTGGGGAGAGGTCAAAACAGAGATCCCTGGCTTGCCGACAGCCATCTCTGCCGTCGGTGTCTCTCAAGCTCAACTTGACAACTATGCGATACATCTGCGATTGGAGGAAATCAACCGAAAGCTTAGGTTGAATAACTTTGTCCCACCTGAGCGTGAACGGTGCGTACCCTCAGCCCTGATTATCACTGCTTCCGGTACTGATAAACACTTTTCAGATCGCCCTCCCCTCCGCCTACCTATGATGCCCATGGTCGCCGAACGAACACTCGCGAAGTTCGTTACAAGAAGAAACTCGAGGACGAGCGGATCAAATTGGTCGACCGAGCGATGAAAAATGACCCCAACTTCCGACCTCCTGTTGAATATGCGCAACAGAAGCGCTCCCAACGTCCCTCAGATAAAGTCTACATCCCAGTCAAAGAGTTTCCTGAAATCAATTTCTTTGGTCTGCTCGTCGGACCTCGTGGAAATAGTTTGAAGAAGATGGAGGCTGAAAGTGGAGCGAAGATTAGTATCAGAGGGAAGGGAAGTGTGAAGGAAGGAAAGGCTAGACCAGATCAGTATGCTGATGATGCTGAAGAGGATCTTCATTGTCTTGTTCTTGCTGACTCTGACGAGAAAGTCGCTGCTTGCGTTAGACTGATCAACAAGGTTATTGAAACCGTAAGTGTAAATTTTCTTTCGTTGGCTGCGTCGAGTCTTGACAATTTTGCGTATATAGGCTGCTTCCACACCCGAGGGCCAGAACGAGCACAAGAGAAACCAACTGCGTCAACTTGCCGCGCTGAATGGTCAGTATTTTCATCCTTATTGCCCTTCGTACAAAGCTCATACTCTTCTCCAGGTACTCTGCGTGATGACGAAAACCAGATCTGCCAAAATTGTGGTGGTGTCGGACATCGCAAATACGACTGTCCGGAGCAGCGTAACTTCACCGCGAACATCATTTGCCGTGTATGTGGAAGCGCCGGACATATGGCGCGCGACTGCACAGTGAACAGAGACCCGAATGCTCCACCTCCACCTCCGACACCTCCTGTTGGCCGCGGTGGGTTCGACTCTGAGTACGCGAACTTGATGGCGGAACTCGGTGAGCCTGGTGCTGCGGCTCCGGATATGTCGAAGCCTTCCTGGGCTGCTGGTCCGAGGGCGGGCCAAGATATCACTGGCGGAGGAACGAACATCCCTCCGTGGCGTCGTCCTGAAAACTGGCAATCGAACACTCAGCCGCAGCAGCAGTTCCGTCCACCTCAGGGAGGTTATGGTGGCGGATATGGCGCACCAGGTGGTGGGTATGGTGGTGGGCAGTGGGCAGGCCAGGGCGGGTATTCTCAGCAATCGCAGGACTACAACAACAACTATGCGCCTTATTATCAGAGCCAATACAGCCAACAGCATGCTGGCTAAAACTGCCGTATAACATTCTAGTCTCAATTTCGACCATCTGACTCCAGGGTTTCTCTCCTCGCTAACTGTTATCCCAGCTCAAATGCAGGCAGACTCGACACGGACTGAACACTCGGTACTCATCATTCACTAACCCCTTCATCCACAGAGTGATGGGTAGGCGCGATTCTTAGCTGATTACTGACCTATAACCTACATAACTTGTTCTGAAAAAAATAAAACTTGTTTCAATCTTTCTTAGAATCCGCTCTGTCTTTTGGTTGAGCTTGGTACAAGTCTGAACAACTACGACTGGTGGAGTAAAATTCTGAACCCTCTACAGCTTTTTCAGTTTCAACCGGATCTCGAACTGAGTCGTAATGATCGTCCAAGTTTCCCAGTTAGGCATCAGACTTTCCAGTTATGGTACTCGGTCCAAGCAGAAAATCGAAGACAACTTCCTCTTCTGGTTTTGGATTCAACGTCATCATTTTCGATCCTGAGCCGGCTCACTTCCAACAGATATATAAACCTTCTCGAACCTCCCACTTTTCTTCATCGAGTTCTTTCGCTCTTACATCCAACCACTCAACCGCATATATTCAACTTGAACAACAATGTCCTCCAACGACCAGAAGAACCCTGAGCGCGTCGCCGCTGGCCTCCGTGGTACTCTCCACAACGACAACGTCTCTGGCGAAGCCAAGGACCGCGCTGCCGACCGTCTTCGTGAGATGGGTGACGACTTCGAGAACAAGACCAGCCACTCCGCTGGCACTGGTGACCAACACAAGAACCAAGTCCTTGGTATGTGCATTCTGGATCGTTGATTGGTGACACCATCTGACTCTTATTTCAGGAGGATACAAGGCTACCCTTCACAGTAAGATCGTTGTCGTTTCTTGTGCTCAAATACTGACAGTGGTGTAGACGACAAAGTCGGTGAAGATGCCAAGAACCACGCGCGTCAAGTCCTCGAAGAGAACGACGCTAGCGAGGAGCCTTTGCCTCAATCCAGGAACTAAGATGGTACGCTGTATGCTGTCAATATCTTCGCATATATGCTCAACCTTCTCGCGCAGGCTGCTTTAGCCATTTTCCTTAGCATAGATTGTGGTCTGTGTCGTATCATGTAATAAACTGAAGTGAAGAAATACGAATTCCATGCTCGTTCGTGTCCAAGTCTGCAGCAAGTCTGTCGCCGTCAAAAGAAAAATACGGATGAGTTACATAACTACTGCAAAAGATTGGACGGTCTGTGTCGCCTTTCGAATCCAATTGTCTGACAACAAGCTGATTGCAAGGGTTGAACGTCACTCTGTTGACCTTCGAATTGCAAAGCGCTCCTCCTTCTCCCCATGAGCCTTGTATTCGGTACACGTCAGCATGATTTTGCCGTTCATCGGCACATACTTCGGTTGCCCTTCTTTGTCGTTCGCGATGATGGTGAAAAAAGATTGGGAACGTGAGGCGATTGTATTGACTGGGAAGGTTCGAAAATCGTGGTAATCGAGAGAACGTGTGTAAAACCACAGCGCAACGGAATTCACGTCTGAGTACAAGTCACATCTTCAGAGGGCCCGTATTATATCGATCTGCAGTTTGTACGATTTCAACTTTCGACGACGAGTTCGGGGCTTCGAGGGGCAATCAAGAACGATAGCAAATCGCGTCTTGGACAATCATGCCCCGGATACTCTTCTCTGTCCCCGTTATCTGCCTAATTTCGTTGAGGGTGGTACTAGGGCTTTTGGGATACACGATAGAGAGGTTCTGACAAGACGAAGCTTAAGAACTCATGAAGACTTACGGCTGGGGAAGAAGTAGCATAGCTGCCAGATATTCTATGTACGGAATGACGTCCGTGGCTGGTAGTGGATAGGAGGTGAAACAGTGTGAAACATTGAGCATACACAGTTCAGTAATCATGATTCTGTCTCAGAGATCGACAGGCTTGAGCGCCTATTTGCTCAAAACGGTCATCTTCTGTCTCAGAAACAGTTGATCGAAAACTTTCAAGATAGAATGAACCTGGAGCGGACGTTCTTCGAACTTCCAGGTGAACTTTTGCTCAGAATCTTCATCTTTCTCCCCTACTTTCAACGTCTATCATGTCCGTGTAACTCAGTGGTAGAGTGTGAGATTGCAACCTCGGTGTAAATAAACACAAATAAACAATCTTGAAGCCGCGTGTTCGAACCACGCCACGGACTTTGTTTTTCTCTTTTTTGTTGAAGAATCACCTAGAATCTGTGTATCTCTTACAACTCACCTCCTCTAGCCGCTCTCTAGCTTGCTCTCTAGGTTCCTCCCATATGCTTGGAACGGTCATCCACAAATCAACCTTCGTAAACCCAACTAAACGTCTACCATCTTGATTGCAGGTTCGAGTGCACTTCGTTCAAAACTTGCTCGCGAATCGTCACCTTTCAGGACATGTGGGACACAATTCGTCCACTTTATGACTCGAGGTCGCTCCTGCAAGAGAGTTCCACGGAATAGGAGGAAAGTCTTTGATAGAGTTGAGGAAGCTAGAAGCCGAAGCATTGAAGAATGAACACCCATGCTTGATGAGATGAGGCGCGCAGTGTGCATTGAAGCGTAGCCACCATGATCTACCAGACCTCCATCATCAGCCAGTACAGCCATCATCACACGTATACAGCCTGATACAGCTGCCAGCACGATATGAAAGGATACGGATCGCCCCGAATTCTCACAGAAATACCGCATTTCTTTGCGGTACATAGTAAATCTCGCTCAAATGAGAGCTTCACCCTCAAGTTGATTCTTCCTTTCCAACGTCAAACGTTAAGCCGCTGGTCGCCTTATCGGACAACCCTACAATTACAAAATTCTCTTGCCAAAATCCACCATCGATGGTTCGTTCACGTTCTGTGCTCATCTTCGTCACTTTGAGCGCCGCTTCGATCGCTGCCGCTGCTCCCCTACGGCTTGCGTCTATCGTCGCCGAGCCTGCCAGTCAAGAGGAAGCCTCATGCGCCCTCTTCGGCCAAGACCCTCCTGAATCCGGGGATCCTCAAGATTGTGGTAAAAGTGAGCGTAATGTTTCTTCCGGTGAACATAATGTTCTCGACATGGTGAGTCTTCAATGCAGCCACCTCAAGTCACTATATCCTGATTCTTGACTCTCTGGTTTTTCCTGCTCTCACAGTTGAACTCTTTTCCCTCCAGCCATGATTCTCCTGGCATCGTTTCATTACCTCCCTTTCACTCCCCTTCGAGTCCGGAGCGTGTAGACGCTGATAATACTGAGAGTGTTCCCAGTATCGAGTTTCTTGCCCTCGACCCTTCTGGTCCCTGTAATCCCACTTCGAGCCAAGAGTATACAGACCCTGACAATACTGTTTCCAGTATCGAGTCTCGTGCACCCTATACTTCTGGTCCACTTGAAGCTGTCTGTCGTTCGATAGGCGTCCTTTCTCCAGGCACTCCCCATGCGCCCGACGCTCATTCCCTTCTTCAAAAGTGTACGGACACTGAGATCTCTAGTGCTGATGGTCCCAGTTCTCCTGCCCTCCGTCTCTCTGTTCCACCTCAGCCAGCTAGCACGTTTCCCGCAAGTCCTCTCTATGATGCTGCGTCCCCGAATCAGCGTAAGGATGCTCGAGAAGAGGAAGACACTCTCATCACCGCTCGCATCTCTGCTGGTCTATCTCATCCCTCGCCGTCCGTCGATTATCCCCTTCTTCGAGAGCGTAGTGTTAGCACTGACATCGCCAGTGCTCATAGTATTGAAACCCGTCCCCCTGATAGACCTCCTGGTCCACCTGTTGTCAATAGTGACATGATGAGCCCATACTATCCATTCATCGCTGGTCTCAAAGCTTCAGATCAAGCTCAGACAGCAGGAGTTGTGCGTCATCATGTCAGGGCAAAAGACATCATGTCCTACGAAAAGGCTACAAATGACTCCACAAGCTGGGATGAATTCGTCAAAACGAAGAGTGGACAAGTATGGCTGGAATTTGATCGACTTCTAGCCAATTTACATCCCTCATTTGACCGACTCTCAGTCAAAATATTGATCATGGCAGATATCATCCTAGCACACCTGGAGCCTGTTTCTGAAGTAGTTGCACTCCACGTGTACGACGAGCTCAGGGAGTGGAACTCTGGTCAGTATCAGAAAGACACCAAAGCTTCCGAGGATTGGGAACAGTTTCTTCTCACAGAGACTGGGAGGCTATGCTCCAAAGTTCTTAAACGGATAGACAATGAACGGCGTTACGAGTATCATCTTCCACTGTTGAATCGTCGCTCTCTCATAGGTATGATTTCTGAAGATATTCGAGGTCTCACTGTGTACGACAAAGCGACAGCCAAGATGAACGACATTTTCAAAAGTAGGGCCTGTACGGGCGGTGATGGCCAAGCTAGTCTCCGCGCTGCTTGTAGTGACATGGGGCTTTTCAGAATACTGCATTCGCCTTGTTACCAACTATATCAGGCAATGGTCTCTAAATCACCACTTGAAGTAGCACTTGTGCTATATGACAAGATGGAGAAGCAGCTACAAGAAGTGCGAGCGAATGGAAATTGGGGGAGGGATAAGGGTGCAACATGTCCAGCCAGATCGTACCCTTCCAGAAATCACCAACAATAGAACCGGTGCACTGGCTAGTATTTGCTACTACTATGACTGTTACCTGCATCTTGGCTCTCATCGTACAGTGATCTGCCAACTTCCCCATTAGCATGTTCCACCATTGACTATCCACCCCTGCTTCCGATCCATTGCCTTCCATTATTCATGACCTGCTCTGTATGCGCTTGTTCGACTGCCTCTGTACTGCTCGCCCGACGCCTTTGTCCAATCAGGAAGCCATTTGTAGAACAAGAGATTAAACTGAAGAGCGTACAACTCACCCCACTCACGCTCGTTCATCTATTTGCACGCTGCAAATGAAAGATGCAATTACGAAGATGATACTATGATACACGATGGCAACATAATTTACATGTATGCAAGAATAAACCCGGAACGTAGCATAAAAAAGAAAATATGCCTGAATAGCTCATGTGTGTGTCTCATTCGTTGAATGAGATAGGCTTGTTATACAAAGAGAAATACGAATCCTGCTCCTGCTCAATCTCAGCATCAGTAATGTTACCCTCTATACTTTCCTCTTGCTCTTCTTCAATGGCATTAGCGTACACCGTGTCGAGCATACTCGTCAATCCAGTCTCTACTATTGAGAGACACTTGGCCAAATCGTCAATCGTCCTTGCCAACTCAGCCTGAGTACTTTCCACGGACACGAGCGTGGAGTAATCCAGCGGCCTCAGGATTGGAACAACGGATTGTCCAGATAGGGAGGTTATAGATCCTACTGAGGGTGAAGGATGGTGGGTGTAAGCACGACCCGAAGGGTACATCGACGATGTCATGTCGACTGGAGCAGAGCGAAGGTCAAACGGAGGAGGAGAGCTCGTTCTCGGTAAACCTAATGAAAACGAAGAACCGGCATCCTTGAAGTTCGGGTGAACAAAAGGTGCAGGAGACGGATTTGTGGTCGTCGATGTGTTGAGATGGCTTGGGGAGGAACTGAATATTCGACTATTTACTGAGGGTGATGGTGGTAAAAGATCAGTGAGGCCAAGCTGATGTTCCGAAGATAACGAGGGGATCTAGAAAAGAGTTCCATGTCAATAGTGAACTTATCGGGCTTGTAGTTGGGGGTCCTACCTTCAAAACATCCTTGAGTCCTGGCGTACCCAGATTTGTGGTACGACTATTCGAACTAGAGTCACTCCCACTCCTATGACGCCGCATCGGCTCAGCAAAAGGTCTGACAGGTGGTAAAAGCGGTGAACCATCTAAAGACAGATCTGGATGATGAAGCGATGGCATCGCTGCAACCGCAGAGCTAGGAGGACTCTGTACTTCTGGTAAAGCTGTCGCGGACCGGGTACGCATTATCGATGGTGACGGACGCGCGGCAGATGCAGATGCATTTCTTCTGTTAGATGAGCTAGTGTCCAACGAATACGTCGTCTGGTGTGATCCTGGCGAAGTCGTCGCTGGATTCGGTCTAGCTGAGGTCGAGGTGGATGATGACGCAAGCCCATCCCTTGCATGTGTACTACCTAAAGGCGTTGTGATTGCCTTTGGATTAGCGGGAAACTGGAAGGCTGTCGAGGACGCGAGGTTGAAGTTTGGGGATGGGGATGGATTTGGATGGTATGGATCTGGATGTGGGGTGCTCTGACCCGTCAATCCTTCTCCTGTACTTTGCGACCGTTTTCGAGGGATTAGAGGTCGGGTTGTAGATGCCGTTGATATATCTGGAGAAGAAGAGGATAGCCCAGAGGGTGAGTTGGAATTGACTGGAATAGTATGCGTTGGAAGGTCAGGGATCTTGTCAGATATTGGCGGTATGGCAATATCTGGTGGACCTCGAGTAGAACGAACATCCCGATAGGTAGCGGTTGATCGTGCAGGGGCTGGAACAGTTGAAGAAGAGTCACTTTTCTCTGTCTCCGGTGTCATGTCGTCCAAGTTCAAATCGCGTGACTCAGTAGTAGTTGGTGACGATGTAGAGGTCGGATCCTTCTCTAGATCGTTTAAATTCAATCTTGACCTCGTCGGTCGGGGAAACACAAATTCGCGTGTTTTCGCAAGATCCTCTTCGTGCACTTCGAGTGGTAAAGGACGTTTGGGTTGTGCGGTAGTAGTAGGGGCTGTCACTGTAGATGGTAATGGGGGTGAAGGCAAGCTGCGCGGGATTGGTTGTTGGTACTTTGCAGGACGAAATGTGTTTTGTTGCGTGGAATCGTCTCCAAAAAGGAGGCGCAAGGAAGAAGGAAGAGCTGCGCTTTGACCAGGACGAATGGTTGCCTGCGCGTTTGCAGGTTCTGTATCGAGTCCATCGTAATAAGAACTAGCGTCGTCTTCAAAGGTGGTAGCATGAGGTCGACCTCGAACAGTTTCGAACTCCCAGATATTTTCTATGTCCGTGTCTAATCTGCACTCGGGATCAATACAGAGGGGGGTGGCGTGCAATATTTACACGCACTCTTCTACTTCCCAATCCAGTGGACCCGCTAGACTATCACGAGGTCCGGCTTGTTGTAACCTTCGGACAGGCTCCTGCAATACCGATAGAGGAACTTTGGCGACTGATTTGATCCACTTCGTCTTCAAGAGCTCGTCTGCAGGAAGACGCTAGTAAAGATGAGCACTTGTACG